CTCCCTGCCTTTCTCCATTCACCAGCATCCGGATATGGGCAATCTGGTCTCTCGTTCCTCTGCCTTTTCTAAACCCAGCTTGAACGTCTGGCAACTCTCTCTCCATGTGCTTCTGGAGTCTTCCTTGCAGGGTCTTGAGCATTACCTTCCTGGCATGATGAGAAATAAGGGCCACTGTACGGAAGTTTGAGCATTCTTTAGCATTCCCCTTTTTCGGTATGGGGATAGAAGTTGATTTTTTTCCAGTCTGATGGCCATTCTTGTGTTTTCTATATTTGCTGGCATATGGCATGCATCACCTTTCAAGATTTTGAACAGTTCAGGTGGGATCCTGTTGTGGTGCTCAAGCTCCTTTGCTGGAGCTGACAGCATTTACCTGCCATGAATGTGAAGCAGGGAAAGATAGATTATTGTGAGAATCCATCAACAAGGCATGGAACTACAGTGGTATCTGGCTGAAGTTGCTTTATTATTATCAGGGCTGCCAATCCATGATTGACTGCATTCTTTGAACATCTCAATCAAATATATTGTCGAAGGCTTTCATGGCCAGAAACACTGGGTTGTTGTAGGTTTTTCAGGCTCTATGGCCATGTTCTAGAGGCATTCTCTCCTGACATTTTGCCTGCATCTATGGCAAGCATCCTCAGAGGTAGTGAGGTATGTTGGAACTAGGCAAATGGGTTTATATATCTGTGGAATGACCATGGTGGGACAAAGGACTCTTGTCTGCTGGAGCTAGGTGAGACTGTTTCAACTGACCACCTTGATTAGCATTTGATGGTCTGGCAGTCCCTGGGGCAATCTTTTGTTGAGAGGTGATTAGATGTCCCTGATTGTTTCCTCTCTGTTGTTTTGCTGTTGTAATTTTAGAGTTTTTTTTAATACTGGTAGTCAGATTTTGTTCATTTTCATGGTTTCCTCCTTTCTGTTGAAATTGTCCACATGCTTGTGGATTTCAATGGCTTCTCTGTGTAGTCTGACATGGTGGTTGTGAGAGTGGTCCAGCATTTCTGTGTTCTCAAATAATATGCTGTGTCCAGGCTGGTTCATCAGGTGCTCTGCTATGGCTGACTTCTCTGGTTGAAGTAGTCTGCAGTGCCTTTCATGTTCTCAATTTACCTATAATGACACTCTTTAAATACCTAAATACCGAGATAGCTAGGCCAGTCTAAGAGTAAACATTAGAAGGAACTTCCTGCTAGTGAATGTGGTCCAGCAATGAAAGCAACTGCTTAGACAGAAAAGCAGAGTCTCTTTCTCTAGATACCTTTAAAGCAGGCTGGATGGCTTCCTGCAGGAGTTGCTTTAGCTGGAAAACCTGCATGGAAAACCTGAGGTATCTTCTCAGAGTTAGCTTTATGCATAAAGAAACAAACGCCTCTCTGTTTCAGCCGGCAACAACATGTGGCTTTTCTAGCACACCCAAAGACAACCGCCTATACAAAAAGTCACCTTTCTTCCGGCCAGGTAAATAGCAAGGATGAATCACAAGAACAGCTGGGTGGCAACCCAAGCAAGGCCTCCTTGGGGCACTCAACTTTGGCAGGAGTCTCATCTGCAAAAGATTGTCTCATAACCCCGAGGCATCCACTTCTGAGCCTTGTGTCACCACACTTGGCCTCATTCCAGTGTCAAAACATGTAAGATCTCAGCTCGGTTCAGCTGTCAGGTGCATCTTCTACGCATTTATGCACTAGGCAGGCAAAGAAAGAATGAAAACTTACTCACACTTCACTCAGATAGGAACCAACAGCAAGGGCAGCATTTTTGGAGCGTTACATCACATAGACAATGAGATGTAGACATCGTACTATCAGCCACCATGAGAGCAAGAAGAAGAAGGGAGTTCATAATCTGCACAAGATTTGTGTAAGAACAAGGAAGGACTGGAAGGCTGGGATGTGTTTGAATGTTTGAAGCTGAGCCACTGGAGTGGGAAGAGTGGTTGGCAAATGGACCAACAGTAGGAAGTACTGAATATGAGACCCCATCTACACCGACCATGTAATGCAGTTTCAAACCATTATTGAAGAAAGTGCTTTTACTGTGCAAATGATTTTATAGGAAATCTTGGAACCTGTTTAAGGTCCAGGTGGTGACTGGACAAATCACAGCGCAATGATGCACATAAAGGACTTTCTTTCTCAAGTTTCTGTGGAAGTTTGTTGTCTGGCTGCTGCAGTTTGGAGCTAGCTTCGAACTGCATTCAACGGTCTATGGAGATGGGGCCAAAAGCCAGGAAGTCCAGGCAAGAAAGCATAATTATTGCTTGCGAACCAAAATGCTGTTAAAGACACAGGAAACAGGATCATAACGCTGGCAACTATAAGACATAGAGGTTACAGAAATTTGCAGCTGGAATGTAGTAATTCAGATTAATCCTCCATATCCACATTATCTCAAGTATTCCAAAAAAAATCTGGAAAAAAACTGAGATTGAAAACAGTTGTGTTATGCACATGTGTTGTAATGTATTTTTATTGTTTGGCTTTTTAAGTCCCTTCCATTGTGTTTTTCAGTGTTTTTATGAGTGATGGTCACTCATTGGCCAGATAGTTGTCTTGTGTCCAAATCAGGTGTCAATTCATCCAGTTATGTAAATCCCACAGACTAACATTACATTTTTATTTATATAGATTGACTAATGCATATGGTTGTATTTGTGGGTATATAGTAGTTTGGTGTATAATCAGGAAGCAAATTTACTTTATAAAAGTAAAGTTCTATACCGCATCTCTCTCTGATGATAAGGTGACTTGGAGGCCTCGTGGACAACAAGGTAAACATGAGCCAACAATGTGATGTGGCGGCAAAAAAGCCAATGGGATTTTGGCCTGCATCAAGAGGAGCATAGTGTCTAGATCTAGGGAAGTCATGCTCCCCATGCTCTATTCCTCCTTGGTTAGACCACACCTGGAATATTGTGTCCAATTCTGGGCACCACAATTCAAGAGAGATATTGACAAGCTGGAATGTGTCCAGAGGAGAGCGACTAAAATGATAAAAGGTCTGGAGAACAAGCCCTATGAGGAGCGGCTTAAGGAGCTGGGCACGTTTAGCCTGAAGAAGAGAAGGCTGCGAGGGGACATGATAGCCATGTACAAATATGTGAGAGCAAGTCACAGGGAGGAGGGAGCAAGCTTGTTTTCTGCTTCCCTGGAGACTAGGATGCGGAACAATGGCTTCAACTACAAGAAAGGAGATTCCATCTGAAAATTAGGAAGGACTCCCTGACTGTGAGAGCCGTTCAGCAGTGGAACTCTCTGCCCCGGAGTGTGGTGGAGGCTCCTTCTTTGGAGGCTTTTAAACAGAGGCTGGATGGCCATCTGTCAGGGGTGATTTGAATGCAATATTCCTGCTTCTTGGCAGAATGGGGTTGGACTGGATGGCCCATGAGGTCTCTTCCAACTCTTTGATTCTATGATTCTATGAGGCAAAACCAATGTCTTTTTGAACAAATCTCGGCAACAAATCCCACTGAGAAGTACGATCATGTAAAGTCATAAATGAAGTTAAGACCTGGGCAAACGTGGGCCCTCTGGGTGTTTTGGACTTCAACTCCCGCAATTCCTAACAGCCAGCAGGCTGTTACGAATTGGGTTGTTGTGGGTTTTTTCGGGCTATATGGCCATGTTCTAGAGGCATTCTCTCCTGACATTTTGCCTGCATCTATGGCAAGCATCCTCAGAGGTAGTGAGGTCTGTTGGAACTAGGAAAATGGGTTTATATATCTGTGGAAAGACCAGGGTGGGACAAAGGACTCTTGTCTGCTGGAGCTAGGTGTGAATGTTTCAACTGACCACCTTGATTAGCATTTGATAGCCTGGAAGTGCCTGGAGCAATCTTTTGTTGAGAGGTGATTAGATGTCCCTGTTTGTTTTGCTGTGCTGTTGTAATTTTAGAGTTTTTTAATACTGGGAGCCAGATTTTGTTCATTTTCATGGTTTCCTCCTTTCTGTTGAAATTTCAAATTTCAGCATGTGGACAATTTCAACAGAAAGGAGGAAACTATGAAAATGAACAAAATCTGGCTACCAGTATTAAAAAAGCTCGAAAATTACAACAGCACAACAACAGAGAGGAAACAATCAGGCACATCTAATCACCTCTCAACAAAAGATTGCCCAGGCACTGCCAGGCCATCAAATGCTAATCAAGGTGGTCAGTTGAAACATTCACACCTAGCTCCAGCAGATAAGAGTCCTTTGTCCCACCCTGGTCTTTCCACAGATATATAAACCCATTTTCCTAGTTCCAACAGACCTCACTACCTCTGAGGATGCTTGCCATAGATGCAGGCGAAACGTCAGGAGAGAATGCCTCTAGAACATGGCCATATAGCCCAGAAAAGGCCATTATATGCTAATCAAGGTGGTGAGTTGAAACATTCACACCTAGCTCCAGCAGACAAGAGTCCTTTGTCTCACACATATATGAACCCTTTTCCCTAGTTCTAACAGACCTCACTACCTGGGTGGGGCAAAGGACTCTTGTCTGTTGGAGCTAGGTGTGAATGTTTCAACTGAACACCTTGAGTAGCATATAATGGCCTGGCAGTGCCTGGAGCAATCTTTTGTCGAGAGGTGATTATAATACAAAATACAAAACAATACAACAAAATAAGCGACCAGGGTGGGACAAAGGGCTCTTGTCTGCTGGAGCTAGGGGTGAATGTTTCAACTGACCACCTTGATTAGCCTTGGATGGCCTGGCAGTGCCTGGGGGAATCTTTTGTCGAGAGGTGATTACAACACAAAATACAAAACAATACAAAAAATAATAAAAAATAATAATCAACGATCAACAGTAACACACAAGCATTTCAAAACCAATGGCTGGGCCAAATATAATAGATTAAGCAGCCCTAGGAGGCGTTTACGGACAACGCCGGCTCTTTGGCTTAGACATGGAGATATAATAACCTATACTATAATGTAACATACTATATATATATGTTGTGATTGTGGTGGTGCCTTTCCCCCTTTTCGTGGACTCACCTTCTCCTCCTCCTCAGCTGCTTCCTTCTCTGGGTTCCGGCCACATCAGCACCGGAAGCGCCCTCTGCTTCCCTCAGCAGGGACTTCCGGCGCAGCTCCCGCCTCCTTCTCCCCGCGATGGACCAATCAGGGAGCGGGAGAGCGCCAGACAGGCGTAGCACCGCCGTCCAATCAGAACGCCCGGCTTGGGCGGTTGCCGTGGCGACCACGCCAGGAAGCGTCGTGACGTTACGCCAGCATTGGCCCAATGGAGTGGCGGTGTTTGAGCCCCGCCTCGTCGAGCGGGCCAATCAAAAACGAGGACATGGCTTGAGAACCAATAGGAAGGCGAGATGTGATGAAGAGAGACAGAGAGAGAGAGAGAGAGAGAGAGAGGGGTTGGAGGGGGCGTGGCCGAGGAGGGAGGCTCCGCCCATAAAGGGGCGGGGACTCCGCTTTGGCTATTCCCATGCAGAAGGTGGCTATGACCTATTATTTCTATTGTGACTAATTTTCCTCTATAGAAGGCAATGATTGACAATGTCATAAGCTGCTGACAGGTCTATGAAGACAACTCATGGGATCTGCTGCCTCTCAAAGCCATCTTCTCAGTGCTGAGTCTAATTCTACAGCACTGCTGGTCTCAGCTGACCTCCAACTGGAGCGCTCAAGGGCCAAAGCTTCCCAGTTTTCAGTGTCTATGCCAGAGTTTTTGAGGTTGGCTTTGAGCACATCTTTCAATCTCTTTTCCTGCCCAACAACATTCCATTTCCCATTTTTGAGTTCAGAGTTGAGCAACTGCTTTGGGAGACGGTGGTCGGGCATCCGGACAGCGTGGCCAGTCCAGCGGAGTTGATGGTGGAGGAGCATCACTTCGATGCTGGTGGTCTTTGCTTCTTCCAGCACGCTGACGTTTCCCTGCTTGTCTTCCCAAGAGATGTGCAGGATTTTCCAGCGACAACGGTGATGGAATTGTTCCAGAAGTTGCATGTGACGTCTGTAGACAGTCCACATCTCGCATATAGCAGGGTTGGGAGGACAATAGCTTTATAAACAAGTACCTTGGTCTCCCTACGGATGTCCCGGTCCTCAAACACTCTCTGCTTCATTTGGAAAAATGCTGCGCTTGCAGAGCTCAGGCGGTGTTGTATTTCAGTGTCAATGTTGACTTTTGTGGAGAGGTGGCTGGTCCAGCGGAGTTGATGGCGGAGGACCATCGCTTCAATGCTGGTGGTCTTTGCTTCTTCCAGCACGCTGACATTTGTCCGCTTGTCTTCCCAAGAGATTTGCAGGATTTTCCAGAGGCAACGCTGATGGAATCGTTCCAGGAGTTGCATGTGATGTCTGTAGACAGTCCACGTTTCGCAGGCGTATAGCAGGGTTGGGAGGGCCAGAATCATAGAATCAAAGAGTTGGAAGAGACCTCATGGGCCATCCAGTCCAACCCCCTGCCAAGAAGCAGGAATATTGCATTCAAATCACCCCTGACAGATGGCCATCCAGACTCTGCTTAAAAGCCTCCAAAGGAACCTCCACCACACTCTGGGACAGAGAGTTCCACTGCTGAACAGCTCTCACAGTCAGGAAGTTGTTCCTAATGTTCAGGTGGAATCTCCTTTCCTGTAGTTTGAAGCCACTGTTCCACATCCTAGTCTCCAGGGCAGCAGAAAACAAGCTTGCTCCCTCCTCCCTGTGGCTTCCTCTCACATATTTATACATGGCTATCATATCTCCTCTCAGCCTTCTCTTCTTCAGGCTAAACATGCCCAGCTCCTTAAGCCGCTCCTCATAGGGCTTGTTCTCCAGACCCTTGATCATTTTAGTCGCCCTCCTCTGGACACATTCCAGCTTGTCAGTATCTCTCTTGAATTGTTGTGCCCAGAATTGGACACAATATTCCAGGTGTGGTCTAACCAAAGCAGAATAGAGCATGGGGAGCATGACTTCCCTGGATCTAGACACTATGCTCCTATTGATGCAGGCCAACATCCCATTGGCTTTTTTTGCCGCCGCATCACATTTAGCTCATGTTTAACTTGTTGTCCACGAGGACTCCAAGATCTTTTTCACACGTACTGCTCTCGAGCCAGGCATTCCCATTTTGTATCTTTGCTTTTAAACAGAGCCTGGATGGCCATCTGTCAGGAGTGATTTGAATGCAATATTCCTGCTTCTTGGCAGGGGGTTGGACTGGATGGCCCATGAGGTCTCTTCCAACTCTTTGATTCTATGATTCTATGATTCAAGTCAAGTGGGGCATTAGGAGGTCATCCAAACGTGCCCCATTTTCATGGCTCCAACTTTTAGGGTCTTTCAGACAACATCTCCATCCCATAACTTCACAACGAAGCTGAATAGCGTTTGGGATTTTGAATTGGATGGCACACCTGTCCAGGTAGGAGCGGATTTGCTGCAGAGCCAGACGTTGTTGTTGTTGTTATGTTTATTGATATGCTGCTTTTTCTCTCCACAGAATGTGGACAACCTCTCCAAAAGGACATCATCATCGTTGCTGTCATCCTCACCATGCTTTCCTCTGAAAGGAGCTCACAACACTCAAAAACAATAAAAATTGCAATGAGAACCCTACGACATAGAATCATAGAATCAAAGAGTTGGAAGAGACCTCCTGGGCCATCCAGTCCAACCCCATTCTGCCAAGAAGCAGGAATATTGCATTCCAATCACCCCTGACAGATGGCCATCCAATGTAAACATTGACATGGAATCAAGACATAGAATGGTCAACGGGTGGTCTCAAAATAGCCCCAAGAGGTCATGGCGAGTCGTTGGGGACAGGCTTCCTCCCTCTTTCTCCTCCCTTGCTTTCGGAGAGCCTTAAGCGCGGTCACTTCTGCGTGATGTAACAGTTCAGTCCAGAGAATGCCACCACCTCTGCCTGCCACGCAAGGCCTGGACGGAAATAGCCATCGCATGCGGAGGAAAACAATGTCTGGAGCCCTCCGAGGTCGGCTTTTGGTGCCAATCGGCGCTTAACCCGCTCACCTTTTGTGGTGTTTTGCTCCCCAAAATAACAGGGCTGCTGTCCTGGGATTAGCCTCCCTCCTGCTTTCCATTCCCTCTTTATATCGTTGAAGCCGCTAAGGCCGCTCAATGGGTCTCAGGCCAGATTAAGGGGATTGTAATTGGCTCAAGGAAGCCGGCCGCCTCCAGCTCCAAAGGCTGGGATCCAGTGGAAGAAGGCAGCGGAGGACCAGTCCAGGCAGGAGCTGGTACGGAAGGTAGAGCTCCCTCGCACCCGAGGACATGGGGAACGAAAACAGCACCTTGGACGACCTGCAGACCTTGGAGATCCACCACTGGTACAAGAAGTATGTCCGAATGTCCCTCCGGGCAGCTGACCGAACACGAGTTCAAGCACTTCTTCGGGCTCCGAGGTCTGGACCCCGAAGCCAACAAGTACATTGAGCAGATGTTCCACACCTTCGACATGAACAAGGTAAGCAGATCAGGCTCCTCCAGCGAAACCAGTTCAGTCCTCAAAGGTTGAATGGTTGGTTCCAAAAGTGAGGGCAGATCTGGACACCAATGGGGTGGTACCTTCAATAGAACCATCACAAGGGATTACTTGGGAGTGCTTTAGATGCGATTTTCCTGCTTCTTGGCCAAGGATTGGACTTGATGGTCCACGAGTTCTCTTCCAATTCTATGACTCTATGATCATCTAGCTTCTGCAGAACATAGAATCCAGCCTCTGTTTAAAAGCTTCCAAAGAAGGAGCCTCCACCAGACTCCGGGGCAGAGAGTTCCACTGCTGAACGGCTCTCACAATCAGGAAGTTCTTCCTCATGTTCAGATGGAATCTCCTCTCTTTGTAGTTTGAAGCCATTGTTCCTTTGCGTCCTAGTCTCCAGGGAAGCAGAAAACAAGCTTGCTCCCTCCTTCTCCCTGTGGCTTCCTCTAACATTTTTATACATGGCTATCATATCTCCTCTCAGCCTTCTCTTCTTCAGGCTAAACATGCCCAGCTCCTTAAGCCGCTCCTCATAGGGCTTGTTCTCCAGACCGTTGATCGTTTTGATGGATTCGTTTCAATTGGTGAAACCTGAGGATGTGGACGAGGTGCTTGGAGGAATGAGAGCAACCACATGCATCCTAGACCCCTGCCCATCCTGGCTTCTAAAGGAGGCCAGAGGGGGATTGGCCGAGTGGGTGAAGGTGGTGGTTAATGCCTCCCTTCGGGAAGGCAAATTCCAGCCAGCTTAAAACAAGCTGTAATAAAACCGCTGTTGAAGAAACCATCACTGGACCCCACTCAATTCGTCAACTATCGGCCTGTTTCCAATCTCCCCTTTTTGGGCAAAGTCCTGGAACGTGTGGTGGCCTCACAACTTCAAGCATTCTTGGTAGACACTGATTATCTGGATCCGGCACAGTCTGGCTTTAGGCCGGGGCATGGTACCGAGACAGCCTTGGTCGCCTTAGTGGATGATCTCCGGGAGCTAGACAGGGAGAATGTGTCCCTTTTGGTTCTGCTGGACCTCTCAGCGGCCTTCGATACCGTCGACCACAGTATCCTTCTGGGACCGCCTCGTGGGAATGGGCCTTGGTGGCACTGTTCTACAGTGGCTCAGGTCCTTCCTAGAGGATCGTACCCAGAAGGTGTTGCTGGGGGACAACTGCTCGACCTCACAACCATTGTCTTGTGGGGTCCCGCAGGGTTCAATATTGTCCCCCATGTTGTTTAACATCTACATGAAGCCGTTGGGAGAGATCATCCGGCGTTTCGGGGTGCGGTGTTATCTGTACGCAGATGACGTCCAACTCTGTCACTCCTTTCCACCTACTACTAAGGAGGCTGTCCAGGTCCTGAACCGGTGCTTGGCCGCTGTGTCGGACTGGATGAGGGCGAACAAATTGAAACTCAATCCAGACAAGACAGAGGTACTCCTGGTCAGTCGGAAGGCCGAACAGGGTATAGGGTTACAGCCTGTGTTGGACGGGGTCGCACTCCCCCTGAAGACGCAGGTTCGCAGCTTGGGTGTGACTCTGGATTCTTCGCTAAGCTTGGAACCCCAAGTTTCGGCGGTTTCCAGAGGAGCATTTGCACAGCTTCGGCTCGTGCGCCAGCTGCGCCCG